GGATGTGGGTTTTACTCAATTCACAAACTCTAAATGAATCACATTGTTTCTCATATTGACAAAGAGAAGTAGTCAACCATATTTCTTAACAAAATTGAGTTAGATTCATATATCTTGTACAACTTAAAAATTTGATTGCTTTATGTGAGTGACAAAACAAGAAAACTTACTCACGAAATACTTAAGTGGTACAAAACTAAACTAGCTAACTCATATTGAGAAGCAAACTTTAGAATGTGGATTAATGAAGGATACATTGTACATTAAGTCTTTTCTCGTTCAAATTTTTTTAATTACATAACAAAAGAAACACCTTATGCACAATTAATGTGCCTTTAGATTGAATATGAGATTTAGACATATCACAATGTACTTCCTTAGGTTCCATTTAACTTAATTGAAACAATAATCAAAAGATATATTATTTCATCAAATATCCTTAGTGGAACTTCCTACATTATCCATCAACCTTATGTCCCAATAACAACCCAATATTGTTCTATAAGCATATAAGACTTATAGAAAATTTATAATGACAAATGACTTGAGGTAAGCAGAAAACAAAGTTAGAGAACAATACCAAAGTACTCACGCATAAATTTATGTCATACATAATTGTGGGTAAGTAGACCAAATAGGGACACGTAACAAGACACCATAGTGCACCATTAATCTCGTCTATGGACATAAAATTAACTGCAGTGGTAATCTTGTTGTAATGATCAAGCATTGATAATAAGCTCTGTCAAACAAAAGTCTATCTTTGGACTGACTAACGTTCACATGAACAATCCAAATAATTATCACATACTTATCATCACATGTGTGTTGTTATTTTGCCAAATTGTGTCTACCTATGGGCTGATCACAAAATGCATAAATAATTCCACACGACATCTATGTAATTTCAATAAAGTCGCTCTCCACATACAGAAGTTGCTATGGCAACATGATGTTTTGATTGACTAAATAGTAAATTACTAGACCAATTGAGTAAAAGCCATATGAGTTTCTCTTATCACTATATGCACGTTATTATTCGGTCAACCTGTGTCTACTTATGGGCCGAGCACAGATCACATGAACAACTTCACACAATATTAAAATGATTTCAATAAAGTCATTCTCTATGCACAGAGGTTGCTATGGCAACATGATACTTTGATTGACTAAATTGAAAATCACAACATCATAGAAAAAGTGATCGAGAATTTCTCTACTACTCAACTGAACAACGTTAAATCGTAGCCCCAGGAAAACTTTGGATATAAAGTTCATGAATTAAAATAAATTTAATTCCAACTTTATTTAGATTGAAAGCTCATTAAACCAAGTAGGCTTAAAATCTAATTTCAATAAGCTTAAATCCAAATAAACTTTGTTTTGAATTTACGGCCCACCATTACCAAATTGGGCTAAAATTCAATCCATTAGTCGTAAAAATTACTATCCAAAAATGAGCTCAAGCATGTAAACACCCAACATGACATTATTTTGAAATTTAAGCCTAAACCAAATCAAACACACAAGTCATGAAAAAGCTTAATATGTTACTCATAATTGACTCAAAAAATCCTTATGGATTATATATGAAGATTTTCAATATAAATCCTATCCTCATGGGACAATTAGCCCAGCATTCCGGAAACACATTATGAGTCTACCACAAGGTCAAACTCAAACTCCAGACCTTATAAATATTTTGAGATACCAAGAAAAAGATAATTTTAAAATCTAACTTTTAATTTGAGTCAAAATATGAAACTTTATATGAACTTGTGTCCATTATCTTTATTTGAGTTTAAAGTCTATAAAACCAAATTAGACTTTAAATCCAATTTTATATAGCCAAAGCCTAGTATGTCCAAATTAGGCTTAACATTGTCAAATTGTGAATTAAGTCCACAAAACATAGAACCAAGTTCAAATATTTAGATTTTAAGCTAGAAACAAATTTTGTCAATTTGAGCCGAATTAGACGAAAACCAAATGTCAACCTAAGCTCAAATACACTCACAATTTAGCCTCAAATAAAATATAATAAAATAAGACAAAATAAAGATCCACTATTTTATTTTATCTTCTTTAGTGAAAGACCATAAAACTTAATCCCTTATGTTGATTTAAAACCTTATAAACAACCATAATAAATTTAAATCAACCTTTAGATGGACAACTTCATAGATCCCGAAAACATACAAGTAACAATATCAATGTTTACGGTCACAAAATTCACTTAGAATTAAAATAATAAACTCAAATAAGAGTAACTATATCTCAAGACATCATAACCCCATTAATATTTTATCTTTGGACAAAATATTAACTTGTAATTGACATCTTAATGCAATAATCAAACATTGACAATAAGAACATATCAAACAATAAATCTTCCTTTGGGCCGACTTATTGTTCACATGTATAACCACATAATCATCACACGTTTATTACCGCAATAGCACAAGTAATTCTAATGAGTACTCCCCTTCCTTTGGGCCAGTTAATACTCACTCAAATTACATGTACCCATATCCTTTTATATTTCAAAACAAATTAATTTTCACAAAATAGGTCGCTTTGGCGACATTTTGCTTCAATTAATCTATCTCAAAATATATAAAACTTTATACCAATATTCGAATCCAACATTTTAAATTTTAAAACCGAAATATAGAAATTCACCGAAAAATGAATCCAGATCCGGGCAAATAATAACATGCTTGCCACGACATGAAAGTATACAATTCATGTTCAAAAAATCATATTATTCACAACTCAATTCCTAAGTAATATGATGTATCAATAAGACCCAATTTGTGATGTCAATGAGATCAAGGCACTAAATCCAAACACCACTTAAACGCACTGATGGATTCACATGAAATAAACCAATCAGAGATGATGTATTCAAATTTTAACAAAAAATCCCAAAACCGTGAGTGGGGGCTGAATTTCACAAACAAATCATGCATTAATCCATTGAATCCATACACACAGATATGCGATATCTTAAAATAAATCCCAACAGCACAACATGAATTCATATTACGACATAAATACTGAATATCGCATATGATCGAACAAAAAATAAATTCAAAGTTAATCCATAAACACCAATCCCGCACAAATAAATTATCATGCGAATCGAAGATAAATAGATTCCCTAAAATCCAATATGAATGGCTCTGATACCACTTGTTGGAATTAGCCTTATGCGAAAATCATCGCTATATCCCAAGAGCTTTCATATTAAATAATCGAGAATCAAACTAGATAGCGGAAGCGTACCTTAGGTAGATTTATAAATTCGATCACCATGGAACACGACTTGGATCACGAACACATCCTCGATCACGAACGGTGTTGGTTTTATGGCCTTCCTCAACTAAATCGCCTTATTCCTCATATGGGACCGTCATTCTCAATTCTGATGGGGAGAAGAGAGAACTATGTTTGATTTAGTGTGTTGGGGACCATAACCAAGAGGGTCTTTATATACTAATAGGGTAGGCCACCCATTATCACCTAACCCTAGTAATATTAGGTATCCACTCATTAAGTCCATATCAATTTATGTAGCCCATGAACTCTACTTAATTTAGATCACTTAATTGAGTCCATTAATTAATTAATTAATTAATTGAATAGCTAATATAATATAATTGTATATAATATGTTGCCCATAATTAGATCATACATATGAAATAAAATATTTCCTAACATAAAAGAGTAAGAGTAGGAATAAAATGTAATTTATAATACAATGGAAATTAGAAAAGTAGTCCAAGTGTGGGGGCAATTTTTTTGACGACAACAATCAGCATTCGCAGCCCAAGAGAGAGTCCAACAAGGGAGCACAGTTGAGTGAGACCCAGTTTTTGCAGCCCTTTGTGCAGCCCGCGTCCGGCCCGTGCTCCTCACAACGAGTTACCCAATAATCAAACTCATCATGTTGTGTACAAAGAAGTTTTTAATAATATAAAATTTTTCATGACGAACATTTTATAATGAATAATATTCGTATGTATTAAACTCTCATATATCTAATGCATGTCCAATTATAATATTCTCTAAATTTATATATTCGTCCATCGCACGGGATACACACTAGTGGAAAAAAAAAAGAAAATAAAATAAGAGGATTTATTAGTTGAAACGAAAAAAAACAGAAAAAAAAAATAAAATAAAATCAATTGCTCTCATCAGTGGCCCTAATTTTGACTGTTCCCAACCAAACACTCCTTTTTCCTCACCATAGCAGCCGCCGCCGTGCTAGCCGTGGATATTGCTAAGTCATTACTCTGCTAAGAATCAATCATAGCAGGCTGCTGCCATTGTTCGATCTGTCGATAATCAATGTCTGAGGAAGCTGTGTTAGAATTTCTCGAGAAGAATGAGGAAATATCGGATTCTGGAAAGTTTGCCGAGGAGAAAGGCATTAGCCACGAAGAGATCGTTAACATCATCAAAAGCCTCAATGGATTTTGTCTCGTTGATGCGCAGGTCAACTGCGATTCACCTGTTTTCCTTAAGCGATTTTTCATTAGATTTTGATGGGTAAATGTTTATTAAGAGTAGCGTATGGTGTAATTAGGGAAATGTCTCGCCCTTTTGTGGTAGATTTCATGGATTTTGTAGTCAAAGTCCGTATTTCTCTGAACATTTTGGATGTGAGTACAGTTTGTAACATTGAGTTGGTATATAATTTGTATGAATTTGCAGAAAATTATGAAATTTTGTGACTGATGTGTATTATCTTTTGAAAATTGTGCAGGATATTAAGAGGGAAAGGTGGGTGCTCACCCAGGAAGGGGAACTGTATTCTAAATATGGATCTCCTGAAGTACTTCTCTTTTCTGCTGTCCCACCGGAGGGCATCGCCCGCGAAGAATTGCAGGTATTCTTGATTAATTATGAGGGCTTAAATTTGATTTCTTAATAAATGGGATGCTTTTATAGAAGTCTTGTATGTTTGCAGAAATCTTTTGCATCAAGATTGCCAAATGATATCGATGTAAGTGGCTTCTTCTTTTGTGTTGGCGAATTAGCTGATTAACTTTAGTTTAATACATGTTCATTTTTCCTTATTCTTATCAACCAAGGAAAGAGAAGTAGCTAAAGAGTATGCTAATTAACATAGTTGCTGAGTATTTGTTTTATGCAATTGGAAATGAAGTGCCTGAAGGATCAGTTGTTTGGTTTAAGCTGAATGCCTTATTTTTATTATTGTTTGGGTGCTATGCTAGATTAATGTTTCGAGACGGACTTCTTATTGTGCTCCAATACTATCCAACTTAATGAAAATTAGCACTGATTATTTTTTCATGCCAAATCATATCTGGGCTTAATTATTGATATTTTGCTTCCATTATCAATTTTATGGACACAAGAAAAGGTTAAGATGTCAATTTACAAAATAGGCAGCACGCAGGCCATAAAGAATAAATGGATAGAAACGGGGAAGTCGCAAGTCTTGCGAAAGGTAAGACTGATTGAACTTAGGTTCGTAGATACTTTAATGTTGTAACTAATCTAACCTAGATTTTATAGTAGAATGAAGTTCTAAGCCCATGATCTCTTACTTTTATATGTTATAAATGTGTTCCAAAGATACTACATGTTGGAGAAAGTTTGACATGAGGCTTAAATTGATAACTACTGTCTCCAAATTTGGTTTTTACATTTGATAAACTGTAATCATAGTGTTATTCCCTAACTTAAGTGATTTGATATAGATCGACCGTGTCGATGACAGGGTAAAGAATTTGCTTATACAAATCCATAGTGGTGAGGTATGCAATATACTTTGCATGACGAGCTCTTCTTTTACCTCTCTTTTCATTGTTTGCATGCTGATCTTTCTATGGTTGCTGTCATGGCAATATACGCATGCATTATCAAGGAGCGGTTTGTTTTGGTGAATATACACTTGTTTGCTTGAATACAAATTACATCAGCTGCTGTAGCTATGCAAGATGGTACCAAACTAACCGAAAAAGCTCAGTATTTTTAGTTGCATTGTCTTATCCATTATAACAAATTTTACCAACTCGCTAAAACATTTTATTGTGCTCCCAGCGGCGTTGATACGCAATACACTGTTTATGGAAATTATTACATTTGTCGTAACTTCATTGACTTATCTTTACCTATGTTTGCAACATATTGTATTGATGCTTATCAATGTTTTTTCATTTAATTGATTGACTTTGTGACTTGATCTTGGTAGTATCTATGCTCCTTCCATTTTCTACTAATGCACCAATGAAACTGCAGGGAGTCAGAGCGGAGGATATTGATGCTCTCAAAAAGAGAAAGCTTATTAGTTCCCAGTAATTATCTTTTGTTTCTTTCATCTTTCTTACCATTATTATTATTTACCATATATTTGAAGACCTCATGTTTCTTAATGACACGCTACAAGGATTTGGAAAGGCTATCAGTGAAGAAAGGCCCCAAGTATGCTCCTAAAAGGAAAAAGGTGGCTACTAATTTGACTCGCGAAAATTTGTAGAGGTAATCATGGACTTGAGTTTTTCTTTGGGTTTTGAAATGTGATATTACCCGATAAATGATTATTCCAAGTCTTACCATAGTAAATTACTGTTTATTGGTCTTCTTTACCAATATTCTCTAATATGGCTAATGATACTTTTTCTACCATCTTGTTAGATAATTAATATTATTGATTACAAGATCATGAATATGTTCAACTGGGGCTGGAGAAAGGCTAGATGATCATTCTCGATATAATTGGATTTAGTTTATGAAACATTATTCTCGGTTGTGTTCCATTTATAAAGATTTTGCTCACATGGTTCATACTCAGTTTTCTACTCCTATTCTAGTTTTTCTACTCAATTTTCGTTTAGATTCCCCGATATTACTGATAATCGGACAACAGTTACACCTATGGATGTTACACCTATGGATCTTCACTGACAGCATCAAAAGGGTAGCCGAGGATGTCCCAGGTGAAATAGTGAAAAAAATTTAATTGAATTTTTTTATTGGAAGCTACAATCTGATTCAAGATCTAGTCATTATCGTACGCCTCTTGAGGATCCCTCTCGCCATCGACACATTGTAAGTAGTCTCGTTTACCTTAGTGTTATCAGGCCTGACATTGCTCATGTTGTTCATAGTCAGTTTGTGAATGTTCATACTTCGGTTTATTTTGGGTCTTTGCTTCGCGTGCTTTCCTCGTCCTCAAGAATTATACTTTGAAGAAAGATATAAAAAACTAGAAATGTGTCGTCATATTTGTCACATGCTTCAAGGATAGAAAGTGAGCCTTTGAAAGTTTTGCAAAATGCAAATGATTTATCTTCAAGTCAGTATCTAACCAAGTGTTTTAATGATCAAAGTGTGCATTTGAGAAATCCAAATAACCAATGCAACATTTTCAAACCAAACATATAGATACTTTTCACCACCTTAGCAGGGATTTGGTTGAGAAAGGATTGATTTGCATAAACCATGCTATTGATAAACAAATCACATATATATTTGCAAAACATTGGACTTTGAGATATTTTCTTCTTCAACGAAGTCTCTTTGTTTGTGTGTTTTGAATATAAGGGTGTGTTTGTAAAATAATTTACTCAAACCAAATTAATTTTTATTCAAAATTTAACTCAACTTTAACACAACCAATATTATTAATATAATTACATAATAACAACCAATCATTAGATAATAATACCAATCATTTTTACACATCATATCAACTTTAATTCACTATTCATCCACTCACATAATTTTAACTAACCATCACTCTATATCATTTTTCTCCTACTTTTACATCAAATCAACTTTAATATTGTATTTTAAATATTATTTCAATATACTCTCAAAATCACACTAACAACTAATTATACTACTTTTCCTAAATTAACCATAGTTAACAAAAAAAACTCTTAATTTGATTGAATTTATCATTTTAAAAACACACCCTAAGTGTTGCATGAAATGTTACAACATTCAAGTAACACTTTTATAAATATGTATATTATACTGTATAACATTTAATGTCACCTTTTAGGGATCTTTAATACCACAACCTTGTAATGGTTTCAGCTAATCCAAGCATACAAGTTTAAATTGCCATTTGTTCCCTAAGTTTAACCCAAAAATAAAATCCATCAATTCTCATCCCTTTTCCTTCCTTAGTGGCAAGAAAATGGGCCAAGAAATATGGAACAAAACACAAGTAACATTTATGAAAATTGGCCCAAGAAATCGCACGAACCAAAAAGATAATTGCATTTTCAACAGAGTTCATTAATTGTTACCTCTTTCTGTTTCGTCTCTTGATTTCGCCGCAAACATCTTCGCTCCTCTTGTTCTATAACATCATACAGTACATAATTTTCAGCAATCTAGCAGAGGCAGAACTTCGAACATTTGCTACTACCAATTGATCGTCGTTCTATCACTGATTATTGCATTTTTCTTGGTTCTTCTCCTCTTACATGGAAGTCCAAGAAGCAGGCAGTTGTATCTCAATCTAGCACAGAGGCATAACTTCGAGCATTTGCTACTACCACCTCAGAAATTATATGGCTTCGATGGTTGTTAGCCAATTTTGGTATTCCATGTGATGATCCTACGCCTTTCTTTGTGGTAATACTAGTGCAATCCAAATTGCCGATAATCCAATAATCCAATAAAGCATGAACTTACAAATTGATGCTTCCTTTACCCGATCTCACTGTCAGAAACAATTCTTCAGTATGTGCTGTCACAACTGCAAGTGTCTGATTTTTTCACCAAAGCACAAACTAGAGAGCAGCATCGGCTATACTTGCTCAAACTCAATGGTTTGAATCCTCTATCTCCACCTTGAGTTTGAAGAGAGGTGTTAACTATTATAGGCTCAACCCCTATATATACTTAAGTCCCTACGTTTATATAGATGGGTATCCTCACTTGTGAATCAATCATTCGTCCAAAACCCTAAGGTTCGCAATAATTATTTTCCTCGAAACATCCACCACCATTTTAGGAGAAAATGCAAGCATTGGACAATAATACACAAATACCGAGCTACTAACAAATACATAAAAGAACTTGACAATATTTACTATCATCACCTACCTCAGTTGACCTTTTCTGCCGTTTGGTTGGTTTAAAAAGTGCCTAATTTGAAATAGAAACAAACCATCATAAGTATATTTTTTTGTTTGAATAATGTTGAAACAATTGTTGTACATCGAAAAGAGTTGATCTCTTACCTCAAAAATTTTTTGAGGAGACGACACTGCTCATACCGCCCCCAAATTTCAGAATTTGTTTAGGTCTCTTGGGGATACAATATCTAGGGCTTCTTGAATTGTTTGAACAACTATCTATAACTTCAATGTCTCTTTCCTCTATTCGGTTGCTTTTGAGAAGCTGATTGCATATATTTGATAAAATAATGATAAATTTAGATCACCTTATAGTTTTTGCATTACAACAACAATAATTATGTTTTATTGAGTTGTATGTAAATAGTATTGACCGTATCTTTTTCGAAAGACATGAATAACAAGAATAAAAAAAACTTAAGCTCATATATATATATATATATATATGTGTATCTTGTGTCTATTGAATGCTCGTCTAAATAATTTCTAATTTGGTTTTTTTTTTTGTTTCAATATAAACAAGTTCATATTAATACCTTAAACAATTTTAGAACAAAATCAGCTAAAAGAAAACATAAAATCAATAATTATGTTTTATTGATGTAAATGGTCTTGAACATGTATCTTGTGTTTATTGAATACTCATCCAAGTAAGTTCGACTTTAATATTTTTTTCTGTAGAAACAAATTCATATTAATGAGCTAACAATAAAATCAATGATTAAAAATTAATATAAATATACCTCTAATAAAGCAATGATAAATGGCCGACATGCCATTTGAATTTTCCCACAAACTTTGTGTGAAATCTGTCGAGTAATTTTTTGTATAATTGACATTCTCGCTCGACGTTCCCAATCTTCTAAGCCTATTAAAAATTGTTTTAGGCAATGACACAATTATTATTTCATATGAATACAAAGTTACATAAAATAAAAGACTAAGTTCCAAATAATTTTACCTCACTGAGTAATTGGAGAAGACCAGGTAGGATTAGATCCGTATCACTTTAGCCTTCTCGGGCGATTATGTCGCCGTAGACTTCACGGATCCAATCACTTGATTTACCTCCCATAATATATTTAATATCTTTTAAATAATCAATCATTGCTCTTTTTAATATTGAAATCTTCCTCGCGTATTCAATTAAAATAGAGATAAAGAATAAGATATACAATTAATACAAATATTTCCACATTAGATATGTCAACCAGTTTGTATATGTGTATATATATATATATATATGCATAAGTGTCATGTTTAAGAAATTCTTCAATTATTAATTAAATTTTCTTCAATAATAAATTTAATTATTAACTGTAATGAATAATATCATTACACATTTTCCTCGCAATTCACTAAAAAAGACAAAGAAATGTAACATGCTCACACTCTTTAATTTCTTCCTTCTAATTTTTCTTTTTTCGCGTTGTCTTCTTCTAGCGGCTAGGCCCTCCAATTGGATGTGTAACACCCACATCAAAACTGTTCACATTTCATGTGTCATAAAAACTCAATTGCGAATGTGGTACAATAGGTAAGTCGCGACGCGCTTTTCTACATGATTTTGCAATAGCAAAAAAGACGTATTTGCAATAGTAAAATAAGACTTATTCTTCCTTCTTCCCACACAAAATTTCTTTGTCAACTGCCTTCCTTTTTTGCCTCCAAAAGATTGATGATCTATTTGTCCCGGCCTTTGGAGACTCCGTGAATTCTTAGATTTTTCTGGGGATTTTGAAGGTCGTGCGTACAACATTTCTAGTCATTTTTTTGAAATGAGGTTTTCTTCAGAATTTGTATTCTCGCTACCTCCACCAACCATGTGATACAGCCCTTTGGTAAAAAAAAATTCCTCGTAATCGGGTGGTCGTAAATTTTTCAAAGGGCTGTATTACATGATTGATGGAGGTAGCGAGGATACAAATTTTGAATGGAACCTTATTTCAAAAAAAGTTGTGACTAGAAATGTTGTAAGCACGACCTTCGAAATCTTCAGGAAACTCCCCATTCATGGAGTCTCGAAAGGCCAGGACAAACAGATCATCACTTTTGGAGGCAAAAGAGGAAGTCGGTTGACAAAGAAATTTGTCTTCGTGTGGGAAGAAGGAAGAATAAGTCTTATTTTGCTATAGCAAATAAGTTTCTTCTTTTGCTATTGCAAAATCGTGGAGAAAAGCGCGTCGCGACTTACCTATTGTACCACATTCACACTTGAGTTTTTATGACAGAGGAGATGTGAACTGTTTTGATGTGAGATGTTAAACATCCAATTGGAGGGCCTAGCACGCCACAAGAAGACAACTCGACGCCCG